TAGTATGTAAACATATAAATTTTTAAAGAATTTTTAAAAAATTATTATAAAAAATTTTTGAAACTTAATTTTAAAATTAAATTATTTTTAAAAACTTAATAAAGTTGATAAAATATATATTAAAATATATTTTTCATAGAATAATAATATTACTAGAATTAGAATTAATATTTAATATTTTATAAAGAAATTAACTTTTTTTTTTAATTTTTTGCAGGCAAGTTTGTCTGCTATATAATCTAAGAAATAATATATACTAAATTAGATAGATAATAATTTTATGAATATTTAACATATTTGCCTAAGTTAAGTATACAAATAAAATAAGATACAAGCTCAAAATGCATTGAAATCCAATTAGTAAATCGAAACACATCACATTTCAAAAATTAGATTGTAGTTAAAATTTCTAATTAAACAAAGGAATGATATAAATATCTTAAGAATACATGATTAATAATTGAACATGATTATATTTAGAAAAATGAATGTATAAGATCCAAAATTTGGTAGACCAAATAAAGCATTTAATTTTAAAGTGCTTAAAGATTTTATTTATAAGGCAAATTTATAAATATTATTTAATTCTATTTCAATTTAATCTGATTCGATTTTTATGAAATTATTTTGATTAATTAAAAAATGGCAATAATTGGACAAATAAATACTAAGTTAATCTGTTTCATTTTTAAATTTTAACTAATCATATTAATTAAACATAATGCAACTATACTTTATTTTTATTAATAATAGAGGAGATATATGATTCTTTTAAATATAAACTTAACCCAAATAAATTAGATAATAACTATGAACTAATAAAAGTCATTTTTCTTACTTTATTTCTTGTCATTATCTTATTTCTCAATAACATAATGTTGTTAAATTTAAACATTGGTAGTATAAAAACTTATCTTTATATAATGATATATGTATAATATAAAAAAGTATTAAGAATGAAAAATAACAATTTAATAGACTAATACAAATCTTATAGCATGATGTAATATTTAAGATAAAGAAAATACAAGCATCTGTTAATTTTCAATTAAAAATATTTTTTTGACAATTTGACTTTAAAGATGATATTAAAAGTATTTATTTTCGATTTGAAATATCAGAAGATTTTATAATTCTTTATTTTAATCATATAATGAAAATAATAAAAAATAAAAAATCAGAATTGATTTAATGGTCTAAAGATAATAATCAAAATGTTATTCATATAGGATTTCAAAATATGTGAATTTTAAAATGTTATAAAAGCTATAGCTTATTTTATTTTAACTGAAGTACTAACACAAGATTTAATAACATACTTTGCAAGAAAAAAAAATGATGTATAATTCAATGTTAAGGAATTGTTGATTTTAGAGAATTTTTATTAATTATAATATTTTTGCTGATTTAGCATGTCGAGAAGATAATGTCGATCCAAATATTTCTGTTCTAATTCTTAATCGGCTAAATTTAGATTAAAGATGATTCCCATAATTATTTTTAAAATTTTTAACTAGTTGCAACTTAAGTTGCAAAACTTTGAGTTGCAACATTTTATGAATTTTTATATTAAAATAAATTTACAAGAAGTTGCAACTTCTTAATTATAGTGTCCATCTTTAGTCTAGATTAATATATAATGCATATGATGTATGAGTTTATAGCAATTCAGATTTTTATCTTAATAGAATAGGATATATTCAAGATAAAGATTATGTGTTAAGTGATTCAGCATATCCAATTTTCCTTTTTGATATCTCCTTTTAAAAATCCTTTTAATTATAAAAATATTAGTTTAATTTTATTCATTCAAATATAGGATTATTATAAAACATGTATTTGGTAGATTGAAAGCTAGATTTAAATTTTAAAAGTAATTTCTGTTAAAGATTTAAAAACAATTATTAATTTAGCTGATTAAGCTATAATATTACATAATTTATTTGAAATTAATGATGAAACTTAAGAAATTATAGAATAGGATAATTATGATTATAATAACTAATATAATTTCAATAATAAAATTAATAAGATTTTGAAGTTAAACAAAGAATTTAAAAGAGAAGAAAAGTTAAATTAATTTGTTATATAAATAAATTCTAGGATAATTAGTAAAATAAAAATTTATAATTGTAAACTTAAATTTAAAATAAAGATGTTTTTTGTATAAAATGATAATTTAATCAATATCAAATAATTATGATAAATTGTTCAATATGAAATGAATGAAAAATTAGTTCAAATGATGATGAAGAACCATTCAATTTAATTAAATGATATATCATTATTCAATTCTAAATGATGATGACAAATTGTCTGATACAAATTAAATAATTATTTAATTAAAATAATGATAAAGAATTATTTGAATTAATTGATCAATAAATTATCATTCAATTATAAATAATAAAAATTGTTTAATTAAATTGAACAATAAAAAATCATCATTCAGTTTATATGATGATAAAGAATCATTTGAATTGGTCGAATGATAAAAACATTATTCAATTCTGAACAATGATGAAAAATTGTTTAATCAATTTAAATAATAAAAAATCATTATTAAGTTCAAATGATAATGATGAATTGTTTGATGCAAATCAGATGATAAATCATCATTTATTTTAAAAAGATGATAATACATCATTCAATCAAATCATACGATAAAAAATCATTAGTTCAAATGATAATAATGAATCATTTAATCAATTTAAATAATAAAAATTAATATTTGGTTTGAAAAATGATGAATAATCATTCAATGCAAATCAGATGATAAATCATCATTTACTTTAAAATAATAATGATAAATCATTCAATCAAATCAAATGATAAAAATCATCAGTTTGAATAATAATAACAAATCATTTGATTAATTCAAATGATAAAAAATTATTATTCAGTTCAAATAATAATGATGAATTATTTGTAGTGTTCTGCAAAAAATCCGATTCAATCTGAATTTGATTCAGATCTGATAGATCAGATCAAATCAGATTTATCAGATTGAATTAGATTCAGATCTGGATTTTGATTTAATTCGATCTGTCAGATCCGGATTGAATTTGAATTTGGATTTGATTCAATCCAACAGATTCAGATTTAGATTCAGATTAGATTCGTCGGATTTGGATTTGGATTCAGATCCGATTTGTTGGATTTGAAATAAAAAATGCCACCCTGAAGTCAGACGCAGCATTTATTATTAAAAAAATTTAATTTTTAATAATAAAATGCTGCCCGAAAGTCGGACACAGCATTTATTATTAAAAAATTAATTTTTATTAATTTTTAATAACAAAATGCCATCCTAAAAGTCAGAGGCGACATTTATTAATAAAAAATTAATAAAAATTAATTTTTAATAATAAAATGCTATCCTGAAAGTCGGAGGCGGTATGTATAATTAAAAAAATTAATGTTTAATAATAAAATGCCGCCCCAAAAGTCGAACGCGGCATTTATTATTAAAAAAATAATTTATATTATTGCACTTTTCAAAAATCTGTTCTCAAATAAATTTTGATCAACATCATGCATATAAAATCAAGAAATCGTGATTTTAAAAATTAACCAATAAAATTAATGATTATGATCTTATATAAAATATACGAAATAAAAAAAATTTAAAAGTATTACTTGTAATAAAATGGGTGATATAGAAAATACCAAGCTAATATATAAACTTGGAACTTGTTTTGGGTGTCAGAAATGTTTATATTATAGTATTTATCTTGATCAAAATAAGTGTAAATGTTCAAATAAACAAAAACCTACTAAACTCAACTGTACTTCCCAAGTACAAAACGCATATACACAAAACTATAATCCAGCTTGGCCAAAAGTGAAACTTGATTATATTCAACAATGGCTTACCAAATATAATTACTAATTAATACCTGAAAAGGGCTTAGGAACATCATAGTGTTCTGCTTGCAATAGTGCATTTGGTAGACTTAAGTCTTCTAATATTAAAAAATTAATAAAAGCTAAAAATATTAAAAAAACTACTATTTCATTTATATGAAACAAGTGACCTTACAACTGATTTAGATGATTTATCATCACCTTTTACTGAAGATATTAGTGAGGATGAAGAGAAATCGGATAGTGAATTGGAATCTATAAAAAATAATGATGATGAACTTAAAGTTGATTATCGGTTGTTT